TCTCACTTGTTTACTTTTGTTTTTATTTCCATTCCTCTAGAAGGTGGGTCATAGAGGATCTTGCTTTGATTTATGTCATTGAGTGTTCTATGTTTTTCTCTAAGAGTTTTATAGTTTCTGGTCTTACATTTAGGTCTTTCATCCATTTTGTGTTTATCTTTGTGTATGGTGTTAGGAAGTGTTCTAATTTCATTCTTTTGCATGTTTCTGTCCCGTTTTCCCAGCACCATTTCTTGAAGAGGCTGTCTTTGCCCCATTGTATATTCTTGCCTCCTTTGTCAAAAGTAAGGTACCCATAGGTGCATGGGTTTATTTTTGGGCTTTCTATCTTGTTCCATTGGTCTATATTTCTGTTTTTGTGCCAGTACCATACTGTCTTGATGACTGTAGCTTTGTAGTGTAATCTGAAGTCAGGAAGGTTGATTCCTCCAGCCCCATTCTTCTTTCTCAAGACCGCTTTGGCTATTTGGGGTCTTTTGTGTTTCCATATGAATTGTGAAGTTTTTCGTTCTAGGTCTCTGAAAAATGCCATTGGTAATTTGCTAGGGATCACATTGAATCTGTAGATTGCATTTGGTAGTATAGTCATTTCACAGTATTGATTCTTCCTACCTAGGAACATGGAATATCTCTCCATCTGTTTATGTCATCTTTGATTTCTTTCATCAGTGTCTTATAATTTTTTGTGTACAGTTCTTTTTGTCTCCTTAGGTAAGTTTATTCCTAGATATTTAATTCTTTTTGTTGCAAAGGTGAATGGGATTGATTCCTTAATTTCTCTTTCTGGTTTTTCACTGTTTGTATATAGAAATGCAAGTGATTTCTGTGTATTGATTTTATATCCTGAAACTTTGCTAAATTCACTGATTAGTAATTTTCTGATCATCCTTATTGATTGTCCTTGCTGGTTCCTTTTGGCTCCTTACATAGGAGTGTCCCATAAGGTCTCTGTTCTTAGCTCTCTTCTTGTTCTGACTCCTCCTCACCCTGTGGTTGCATCTTTCCCACACTTTTAACTACTGTTTTTGCACTGATCCCCCAAGTCTGTCTTTGGCTCAGCTTTTTCTGTTGAGCCTCAGGCTCTGTTATTTCCATGTCTCCTGGACACGTCCCACTAGATACTCAGTGCCACACATGCAGAAGTATACACACTGTTAACCCTCTCCACCACTTCCCACCTTGGTCAGTGACCCACCTGGTCATTCATTTAGGGTGTGCTCATGGGAGTGGCTCTCAGCTGCTTCCTCTCCTATAACACTGTTGTGTCTGCGGGTCCCAGCTTCTCTCTCACAAGCTCTTTTGAGTATTAATACATAACCTTGTCTCTGTTCTCCTTGTTCCTGCCATAGTTTAGATGTTCGTTCCTTTCTCCTTTATAGTGTGGTCCTCTGAAGCCAGACTGCATGGGTTCTCATTTTGGATATATCACTTATTACTTAAGTAACTTTGGTCAAATTTTATAATTTCTCTGTGCCTCAGTTTCCTCGTTGGTAAGATAGAGATAAAATGGTTTAAGAGATATAAAGTGCTTAGAATAGTGCCTGATACATCATGTTTGTTATTGTTTCTATTATTAATACCACCTAGCTGACCTCAGTACTGCTGGTCCCTTCCCTTCTGAAGCATTTTCCAGTCTTCCACAGTGTGAGATTCATGAATGGACATCTGACAACATCATTCCCTTTTAAAAAATTTCCATAGCTTCCCATTCTCTGACCACTTGCTTACATTCAGTTCATCTCCACTGTCCTTTTTCTCTCACTTGTTACAGTTATATTAAGTTAATTGGTAGTTTTCAAGGTAAGCTGTGGTCTTGCATGCCTTTGCATCTTTACACGCTATTTCTCCTGCTTGATGTGTCCTTCCTTCCCTGGTTTCATTTGCAAATCTTTAATGATCCTTCAAGACCGTACTTATTTTATTTTTTAACATCCAGTTCTCAGATTTTAATCAGTCCAATGCATGAGTTAACCAATCATAGCAAGTAGTTACAAAATGTGTAGCTCAGTGGTGCTCTGGCAGATACAAGACAGATACGCTCTTGAGGAGCAGACAGTCCAGTGGGGGAACAAGACAGACAAACGTGAAACATTAAGGGACTATCCTTGGGAAGGTTAAGTAGAGCCTACTTAGTGGGGTAGGATTTCAGAGAAGAGCAAACTGTTTGCTCATGGATACTGAGGGGTGGTTGTGTTAGGTACTTAGAAAGACTTCGTGGAAAAGTGGGATTTTAATTGGGCTTGGAAGGATAATAAAATCTGTATAGATGGAGGGAAGGGGAAGTGGGCGTGTGGGGCCCAGGTAACAGAAGGCACAGAGGCGGCAGTTGGCAAGCTGCTCAGTGGAGGAAGCCTGGTAGGAAAGTGTGCATGTTGAGGAGCATGAGGATGTGCGGCAACCCCAGCAAATGCTGTGGCAGGCGGCAGGCAGTCGCGGGGTCTTCAGAGCAGGAAGTATCCTTGGGTTCTGGTATGTCCTATGCCAAACTGTACTGAGGCAAAAGGAAAACTCAGTAATACTGATCTTGCCTTCATTCATAAATGTGGTATTTTGTTCATCATGAGTTTTTTTTTTTGCATTAATTTTGAGTTTTAAAGATATTGTATTAAAACCTTATTTATCTCTTTTGTAAAAAAAAAAATTAGTTCTTGTGATTACTGCATTTTTTGGCACATCCTTAAATTTTGTGCCTCAGGCAAGTGTCTCACTTACCTCACCCTCATCCCAGCCCTGTGTTGTGTTTCTGGAGTTCAGCAGTGAGGGTATGGATATTTATTTTATTAATTATAGCTTGTTGTTGTTGTTCAGTTGCTCAGTCATATCTGACTCTTTGCGACCCCATGGACTGCAGCACGCCAGGCTCCCCCGTCCTTCACCATCTCCCGGAGCTTGCTCAAACCCATGTCTGTTGAGTCAGTAATGCCATTCAACTTTCTCATCTTCTGACATCCCCTTCTCCTCCTGCCTTCAATCTTTCCCAGCACCAGGGTCTTTTCTAATGAGTCAGTTCTTTGTATCAGGTGGCTTACTCATGTTTAAATATTTTTGGTTAGTAGACAGAATTTAATAAAAACAATTAAAATAAAGAAGCTAGAATTATAAAAATATTAATTTGGAACTTTGGAGCCTGAAAAACATGAAAGGGAAAAGAATCCTTTGTGTTTCTGAGTTAATCTCTACGGGAGGATAACCCCCTCTTGTTTCACCATATGAGTGCAAGCAGAAAATGGTTGTTTTGCCCACATTCTATAACTGAGGGATAGGGGTACCAGAGGCTGCTGAACTTGTGGATATATATAGGCATTGAGCAACTCAGCTGCTGCAACCAGAGATTCTGCCCCATGGCCTCAGGAAAACTTCCACAAATGGACCATGCAAGGTGAGCTTGACCCATATCTCACATAAAACAGACCCATCCAGCCTGCTCAAAGAGCAGCCACTCAGTGGGCCGCAGTGTTTTACCACAGGCCATTGGCATCCCAGGTGGCACAGTGGTAAAGAATCCACCTGCCAATGCAGGAGACATAAGAGACTCAGGTTCAATCTTTGGGCCTGGAAGATCCCCTAGAGTAGGAAATGGCAACCCACTCCAGTATTCTTGTGTGGGAAATCCCGCAGACAGAGAGGAACCTGGTGGCCTACAGTCGGTGGGGTTGCAAAGAATTGGACACGAGTGAGCACACACACGTGGCCCAAGAAGCAGTGGAAGATTCACAAACCCTCCAAATGTCTCAGGGCTACTTGCATCTGGGAAAAGAGGTGGTGTGTGATACAAAGAGTATTACTAGTATATACACCTAAAATGTAAAAGCTAAAAAGTGTGAAATCTGTTGTTTATTAGTGCACTGGTGATAAAGGAAAGATTTTGAGTCAGGAAAGTTAAGAGTGCAGTACAAATCTCAAAAAACACCAAGGGAGAAGTTGAAAGGAACACAGTGCTCTCTGTGCTCATGGCCAGGTGTGCTGTACTGTGATACAGACCTCCCTGTCAACTCCTGTGTTCAGAGAGAACTCCACCAGGCTCAGGGTGGACGTTCGGGCACAATATCTAAAAGCCACAGGCTGAACTTCACCATCAGATAAGTGGGTGGTCACATAAGATGGCTGTTTTCTGAATACTCCAACCAAGATCTGCTCCACCACTCCCTTGCTGAAATAATGACCCCTTTTCAGTGGCACAACTGGCAAAATTCTTCAGAATTGAAGGGGAGATAAAGAGTTTTTCAGACAAAAAGTGAAGGAGTTCATCACCATTAGACCAGCCTTATAAGAAGTGTTAAAGGGTGTTCTTTAAGCTGTTGATCAGAACACCTGAAAAAAGAGAAAAATTCTTGTGCAAGAATCGTTTCTGTTGAAGGTATTGGAATGAACAGCCATCATCAAGACAGAACTTATCCACTACAGAGCCCTAGTGCTTCGAGCCAGCTGGAATCCCTTTGGAACATCAGTTATGGTGCCTATGGATTTTCTTGTAGTTGTCTTCATTGGTACCGCACTTCTGCCTCTTTGATTTAGTGGCGAGGGCTGCCAGGATCTTCACAGTGCATGCTCCTTCCCAGTGAGCAAATGTCTTATTCGAGTTGTGGCAGACCTCATTTGATCCTGGCAGAAACACATCAGTCATGGTAGCTTTTGGTTCTGTGACTGGATTGACCACTAAAGCACTTTCTTTCAGGCAGCTCTCTGTTGCACCTGGCTGCTTGCACCAGATTTCCAAGATGATAAACTTCCATGTTCCTTCAAGACCATGCTTAAGCCTCCTGTGAAAACCTGGCCCCTCCAAATACAGTTGGTCACTCCCTTAACACTCACCATGATGTTCTGCGTTGTTTCCAGGTCTGTTACCCACACAAAGCTGTGCGTTTCATGATGGTGGGGACTGCAGCCTCTTCTTTGAGGGCCTTGTGCAGTAATCGGCTCAGAGCAGATGCTCTGTAAATGTTGAATTTGTTAGGGTTCAGGAGTTTACTAAGGTTTCTGTGCTTCTTCAATTTCCCCAGGCTGCAGGAATTGGTTGATCGAGTACTGGAACGTTTTCAGGCCTCTGGACTAATAGTGAAAGAGTGGAATAGTGTGAAACTCCATGCTACAGTCATGAATACTCTGTTCAGGAAAGACCCCAATGGTAAGTGCTCCACAGAACCACAGTGCAGTTTGTGACCAGCAAGGTCTAATGATAACCCTGGGGTTTGAAGAGAATGGGCTATCAAAGGATCTCTAACATATCTTCTTTTTTATATCCATTATCTTGTTTTGATGAGTACAGTGGAAGTGGGCAAGGACATATTGTGCATGGGGCTATATAGCTTCTCAAATCTTATACTCTTCTTGCACATAGGGTTGCTAGATGTAGCAAGTAAAAATGCAGGATTCCTAAGTAAATTTTAGGTGGACAGTGAATAATTGTTTTAGTGTAAGTATGTCCTAAGAAATGCATGGCAGCTTTTTTTTTTTTTTTTTCCAGAAACAAGAGAAGATTAACTAATAAAAGTAAGTGTTAGAGCCGTGATTCTCAACTAGGGGCAGTTTTGTCCTCCCAGAGGACATTTGGATTCTCTGGAGACGCTTTGGTTGTCACAGTTAGGGAGATGGGAGCGGGCTACTACTGGCATCTGATGGATAGAGGTCAGGCGTGCTGCTTACCTCACTGCAATGCATGGGACAAGCCCCTCATAATGAAGAATTTTTCAGCCCTGAATGGCAGTAGCACCAAGGTTGAGAAACTTTGTGTTAATGTTTTGTTTTTTTTTTCCCCTCCTGAATCTAAAAAGCCTTCATATAAAAATGCCTTGTTTTAACCCTTTATTTGGGATAATAATCTGCATTTTAAAAAGGATTATTTTTCTTCCCATCCCCACCAGCCAAGTGAAAGCTGTCTAGCACATTGAGCATCTATTTGAACAGGACCTACAAATTCCAGTTATGTGCAGCTTCTTCTTTAAAGCCTGTTGTTCAAAATATACCACCACCAAAACCCCATATTTAGGTTTTATTACCTTTGTTAGGACTGACTTTGGTTTTAGAAAGTCTCATTGGAAGAGGACTTCATTAGGAGTCCCCATTTAGAACCCCATTTAGAACTAAATTTATAGTTTAGGACAGTTTTTGTATCCCTTTTTGCCAAAGTACATCTTTTAATTTCTCTCAGATACATACCAGAGATCTCAACTGTAAGCTGGTTTGATTAGAACCATTGTAGGACTAAGAGATACGTAGCTATACCATTCTTAGTTGTAGTGTTACTTTTCTTTTGACGCTAGATTGTATTTTAAGGCTTTTTAAAATAAATTGTTGTCTTTAAATCTTTTCAGAGCTCTTACAACTATTTCATGCCCCATTATCACCTAACCTCTTAACATAAAAGAGTTGAATTATATAGGAATCTGTTTCTTTTAAATTGTGTGGATCCAGATGTACATTCACTTGGCACCAGAGCTTCATATAGGAAAATATTCTGTGTTCACAGTGTTAGTTATCCTTTCCTACTGACAGATATTTTAAATGTAACAGCTTTATTGAGATATAATTCATATAATATATAATTCATCCATGTAAAGTATATAATTCAGTAATTTTTTGTATAGTGAGTTATGCAGCCTTTACCACAGTACATTTTAGAACATTTTCATCACCCCAGAAAGAAACTCTCTATAGTTACTGGCAGTAACTCCCCATTTTCCCCTTACTGTCCAGTCCTTAGCACCACCAGTCTCCTTTCTGTTCAGTGAATTTGCCTTTTCTGTATATTTCACATAAATATTGATAGAATCATGCAATATGTGATCTTCTGTGACTGGCTTCTTTCACATAGCATAATGTTTATAAGGTTCATCCAGGATATAGTGTCATTCCTTTTTATTACCAAATAATAACCCATTGTATGGACATACCACATTTTATTTATCCATTCAGCAGTTGATGGACATTTGTGTTGTTTCCACTTTTGAGCTATTATGAATAATGCTGCTGTAAAGATTTATGTGTGTATTTTTATGTTTTCATTTCTATTAAGTAAATACTTAAGAGTGAAATTGCAGAGTCATGATTAATGCAAAGTTGTAACTTTTTGAGTAACTGCCAGACTATGTTCCACAATGGCTGCACCATTTTACATTTCCACAAGCAGTACAGTAGCCCCCCCTTATCTGCAGGAGATGCGTTCCAAGGTCCCCAGTGGATACCTGAAACTGTATACCAGACATCCTATATTTTTCCTATGCATGAATACCTATGATAAAGTTTAATTCATAAATTAGGTGCAGTAAGAGATTAACTAATGGTAAAATAGAAGAATTAAACAATATGCTATAATAAAAATTACGTGAATGTTATCTATCTCTCTCAGAATTTCTTATTGTACAAATTTAATGCCTTTTTCATTTTCACTAAGCACTTACATGCACCGTGATCATAACTTTTGCAGTTTGAGGTGTGACAACAAAACTAGTTATGATTTCTTTCTCCTTCATCCCAACTTCATTGATAGATTTGTTCTTACTGTAGATCTTAGCAAACTTTAGCTAAGATTTTTTTCTTTCCTTATTAAGTCACGAACTTTCACCTTTTCACTTAAAGAAAGCACTTTATGGCATCTCTTTGGCATATCCAAATTGCTAGCATCACTATTCTTGCTTTTTGAGGCCATGAGTAAATAAAATAAGGGTGACTTGAACACAAGCAGTGCAATACCTTGGCAGTCATTATGAAAACTGAGAGAAAGGGATATGTTGGACAAAGGGATGATACTTCCTGGGTGGGATGGATCACACTGCTCAGAATGGTTCATGATTAAAAACTTAGAAATTGTTTATTTCTGGAATTTTCCATTTAATGTTTTCTGACCTTAGTTGACCACGGATAACTGAAAAGGTGGAAAGAAGAACCACGAATAAGGAGGGATGGCAGTGCATGAGGGCTTCAATTTCTCTACATCTTTACCTGCACTTATTATCTGTCTTTTTTGTTATTGCCATCATCTTGAGTGTGAAGTGGTATCTCATTGTGGTTTTGATCTACGTTCCCCTCATGGCTAATGCTATTTACTTATAAATTTTGAAGCTGTTAGTAAACATTTCAATCTCCAGATTTTATTACTGCTTTTTTAAATTGACATTTACCTAGTATGAATTTTGCTTTATAATTTAGTTTCACGTTTTCTTTTAATGGGGGGACTGTTTTTAAGTTGTGAAATATACATGGGATTGGGCTCTTTATAAGAGAATTAGTTCACATTAGAGAAGTAGTCCTATAGCTACCCAGGTGTAATTCCAATGGACTTTCTAAAATATATTATCTTCCTGGGGTTAGCTCTTTGAATATATTTTATCAGTTCTGATGTGGCAATCTCCATAGTTATATACAATAAAAGAATATACTCAAAAGTAGAAATACAGATACTTTTAAGTGTTGGTTGGTTGGCAGGAAAGAGTTGGTATTTCAGAAAATATTCTGAGAGTTAATTCTTGAAGATGTTTTGAATTTTACATACCTTGGATACTTCTCTATCTTGTATTTTCTTTTGAAAAGGCTGTTGAATAAATACATTGTCTTGCTTTTTCATAATAGTTATCCTTTCCTTTGATATCCATTTTTTTCCTGCTGGATTTGAAGGACATCTTTTGGGATAAGCAAGCTAAATTAATACAAGGAGTTAGAACACAGCTTTGATGAGGCTAAGGTCATAGATTTGCAGATTTCTGTGTAGAATGTAAGGATACCTTTGATTGCAACTGGAGAGGTTTTTCTCATTTCAGGGGAGTCCTTAAATCAACCCAAAGCATGATTATCAGCATTTTTAACTAGTTAATGAGTGAACTTTCATGTATTTTTATGTATTTGAAAATGTGTACAGCTTATAAGGAATCTTGGGTTTTAGACTGCAGGGAATCTTTGGAAATCACCCACTCTTCTAACTTTGTAAATGAGGAACTAAAGAGACATAATTTGCCTAAGAATATGGTTTGTTATGTAGTTTATGTACAGTGAGTACTTGGACAATGTTAAATGAATAAATATACACCGAATGAGTTATGACAGAGCTGAGACTAGTCTCTTGACCATAAGCTGATGTTTTTCCCTCCATGTTATGTTATTTTCCAGGCTTCCCTCATAGCTCAGTTGGTAAAGAATCTGCCTGCAATGCAGGAGGCCAGAGTTCGATCCTTGGCTTGGGAAGATCCCCTGGAGAAGGGAAAGGCTACCCACTCCAGTATTTTGGTCTGGAGAATTCTATAGACTGTACAGACCATGGACTCAAAAAGAGTCGGACACTGAGCGACTTTCACTTTTTCGCTGTTACATTCTAGGTAGTACATGAAGATCTTCCTAGTTATCCCTATAGAAATCCAAGAGAAAACAGACAGCTCAATAACCCAAGCTTCTGTTCTAACACTGTCTTTGAAATATTTACAGCTGAAGGCAGGTACAACCTCTACACAGTGGATGGCAAATATATCTTCAAAGAAAGAGAATCATTTGATGGCCGAAACATTTTAAAGGTCAGTACAAATCTGAGTGAATTGAAAATCCTTTGGCATATGTCCTAAAATAAGGGAGGGCAATAAGTTTTCCTTTTAACAGTAAAGTATATTTTTCTTATACTTCCCATGAGGATTATTGACTGAAAGGACTGTTAAATTTTTTTTCGTAGTCCTAAATGAAAAATCTTTTTGACTTGTTAAGGCTGTTGGTGTCTCTTAGAGTACTTAAAGTTGATGATTTAAGAAACAACTATACTATTTGGATCCATAGGAATAAGTTGATTTTAACCTTGTGAGTCTTACTTTGTATTTTACCCTTGAAGGACTGAGTGTGCATTTTTTTTAAGTGAAGAGTTGTCTTGTTCTAGTAGATTTTTCTCTTCACCCACAGAGTCACTCTCCAAAATTCCTGTGTAAATCTATTTTTACTCAGGAACAGCCCATGTGCTAAAAAGTAGGTGGTCCATTTCTGACTGTTGAGGATTTGCTTCTGAGTGTTAAATTAACCTATGAAATTTAAATGAAAAGTGTTCTTCAGGATTGCATTATCTTTCTCCCACAGACCACATTCTGTAACATCCACAGTTTATGCCCTCTCTGTCAGGTTAACATGCCATTGTGCCTCTGGGAAAAGGGAAACATAAGCTGATACCAAAGGAAAGGTTTTTGATTTCTTCATTTTACTTGTTCTATAATGGTTTGGGTCATGTATTTTCAAGGCCATGGGTGTTTTTTTGAGTTGGGAGGGAGAGGATGTAAATAGTAAAACTTCAGAGCAAGCTCTAGCTTTAGCAATGTTTTTCTTTTTCCTCCATTCCTTTATCTTGTCACTTGACAGATTTCTTGCCAAATGCCTAATGTGACCCCATTGCTTCTAATTAATGACATCACTCTTCAGCAGCTGCAAGCCTCTCATTGCAGAGCCTAGCAGAGCAATGGCAGCATTCTCTTTAGGCAGGCATTCCAGCTCTCACATTACAGAGCTTTGTTGATTCTTTCTTTTCCTTGATACCTTTCCTCTTTGAATAGTTTTATTTTCAAAGTAGCTCTGGTAGCTTCAGTTTGAGTGGCAAGTTGCTAATGAATTCAGTTGCAGTTAACTTTTTTCCCAGGCCACAGCTTTATTGTGATATGAATCTCTTTCCTCCTCTAGCTCATTTTCTGAGGCTTTTAAAATAATAGCATTAATTATTTTGCTTTTTTTGGTTACTGTTAATTTGATAAAGAAAGAAGCTGATGAATGGGGAAAGAAATCTGTTGGAATGACTCAAGCCAACTTGGTTCCTTTGGAATTAGAATTAAGCCCCAAAGGTATATTGATGCAAGTTGAGGGTGAGGTGCTTTAACATCTGTAAGAAGGAGGTAAGCACAGGTAGCCTGAGAAGTGCCTGTATGAACAGGATCTATTGTTGGGTATTTAACTTCTCTCATTCTGGGAAGTCAGTTTTCCATTTAAAGATGCTTGACTTGGAAATTTTTCTAACCCACCCCAATGATAACATGGACATAGCTCCCTCTAGTGTTGACAAAGCTTGCTGTAATAGTTGTACCCTTAGTGTTTAATGCCTAATTGGAGTTTTAGAACTGGGCCCAGCTAGGTTCTTGCAAACTATTTAGTCCAGTTCCTCATTTTACTCTCTAAGGGTGCAAGATCCAATATGGTTAAAGTGACTTGCAGGTTACTGCTAGATAGTATCAGAGTTTGAATCAGAAAAAAAAGATTTAAAACTCACAAATTAGCTTTTCTATCTTCTTCATAAAGATGCTCAGTGTTTAGGCAGAGATCAGTAGATACTTGAAATTGGGCCTCTCTGTTTGAAATATGATAATACCTGACTGGACATAAATGTTGGGGCAGTGGGTGTGCCAGTTAGTATAAAACTGGCTAATTAACAATTAGACTTTTGAGGTGTATGTAATACTAGCACCAACAGAAATATTGACTGTGTGCTATCTGTCAGACCATGTGCTCTGCAGATAAAACAGCCATTATGATACATTCCCTACCTTCCAGGAGCTTCCTATCTGAGAGATACAGCAGATTAATAGGTAAGTACAGTATAAAATGATGGGAGCAGATTATGAGATGAGGAAGAGAAGTACCTTTGAACACAGGTAGTTGTAACAAAATATCTTTTGATAGAATTTCCAATGTATTACTTTTTAATCATTAGTTCCAGAAAATATAATATTTCACTTCTATTTAATCAAAGGAATTAACTTTTCTTTGAGAATAAAGATAAAATGTAACATCTAACACTAATTCCTCAGACATATAAGAGTAATAGCTATATTTATAAAGTAGCTATAGCAGCACACTTTTTTGGAATTACAAATCTTTCTCAATTAGAATATGAAAACACCTGGCCCCTGAATCCCTTGCAAAAAAAAAAACAAGCAAGAGATTTAAAAAACCAGTGGATTATATATGTAGTTTTTATAGCAGATATAATTATTATGTTCAGAAAGGGAAAAAAAATCACTTTCACTAACAAAATAGGAACTGACTTGGAGTAAACAGAAAGGTTAACTGCATTGGTTGTTAAGGAGCCCAAGTATATGTGTGCAGCATATTAACAGCTACACAGGTCAAGGATCAGGAATGCTGGTGATGGGAAGCAGCCTTGGAAAAAAATCAACTTCATCTACTATTCAAAGAGAAACAAAACGAGAATGCAAGTCATTGCTCATTGCTTTAAGAATTTAATGAGTAACAGCCAATTGCTATTCTACTCCATGAAGAGAATTGGTCCTTTTGACTCAGTGTAATATTATGTGTTCTGGATGCCTTAATAAGGAAAAAAAAATCACTTTCACTAACAAAATAGGAACTGACTTGGAGTAAACAGAAAGGTTAACTGCATTGGTTGTTAAGGAGCCCAAGTATATGTGTGCAGCATATTAACAGCTACACAGGTCAAGGATCAGGAATGCTGGTGATGGGAAGCAGCCTTGGAAAAAAATCAACTTCATCTACTATTCAAAGAGAAACAAAACGAGAATGCAAGTCATTGCTCATTGCTGTAAGAATTTAATGAGTAACAGCCAATTGCTATTCTACTCCATGAAGAGAATTGGTCCTTTTGACTCAGTGTAATATTATGTGTTCTGGATGCCTTAATAAGGGAAAAAAAAAAAGATCTCCAATGACTTTTGGAGGTAGAAACCATGTTTTTCTTTTGTATAGCTCTTTTGAGAATTTTTGCAGCTGTTATAGACTAGTATCTGATTATTCCTAGTTAAAATAAGAATTTTATTATTCTAAGAAGGACTTTGAAAGAAGAACTGACAACTAGAGAATCATTCCCTTGTGTTTTTCAAACCAGAAAAGGAATGTATTTAGTAATGGTAGTTTTTATGAAAGACTGACAGATAGCTCTGAAAGGAGGATGCACATGCGAGTGAAGACGACCTCGGCCTCATTAATAGGATAGTGTCCTGTCAGAGTTTCCATTTCTCATCTAAGAGATAGGAGCAAAGATGCGGTTTGTTTATCTGTAATGCAGTGATAAGCTTGTAAATGGAGGAATCATGCTGACCTAAAAACATTCTGCCAGGAAATAACTGCTCCCTCACTAGCTAGAAGTAGGATGGTCATTGACTGCCAGCTTCTGGAGGGAGAAGTGGTCTTAATGGCAGTCTGTTTGGGGGACCTATGAAATGCCCTTATGCAATTGAATCAGTATTCCAAGACTGTCCTCTCAGCAGATTGAATAGGGGTGCAGAAGTAATTGTTTAAAAGCATAGCTTCTAACTGCAGGGTGAAGAGAAGACATTAGAGCCCTAGGTTGTACTCTCCACAGATGATTTGGTACAAATAAAGCCACAGTAATATATTTGGGAAGGAATAGAAAGTGCTGGAGAAGGAAATGGCAACCCACTCCAGTATTCTTGCCTGGAGAGGAGCCTGCTGGGCTGCTGTCCATGGGGTCGTACAGAGTCGGACACTACTGAAGCGACTTAGCAGCAGCAGCAGAAAGTAGGTCCAAAAGCAAAGGACAAAAGTGCCATTTCTTTAGATACTTAAAAATCCTGGAGCATATAAACCAAGTAAAAAGCACATATGTTTCCACTTTATATATAAGAATATTTAAATTTAGAGAAAGAGGGAATTGGCAGTATTTTACTATATTAATATTTAATAGTACTTTACCTGAGAATATGTTTTAAATCTAGCTAGCTACATTCAGAGTTTTCTTGAAAGATGTAAATAAGAGTGACTCAAGTATTTCATTCAGTTTTGCTCTTTTTCCATCTCTGGCTCTTAAAGTATTTAAGAGGACAGTAGAATGAATGCATTTAAATGAGAGCTTCATTTAGTTTTTTTACTTAGGGAAGTTTCTATAAGGAAGATGTTTAAAAATGCATGCTATTTATTCTCTTGGTAAAAGTGCATAAACATATATGTACTTTTAAACAAATAATCATTAAGTGAACAATGTAACTACTACCAAGGTCAAAAAGCAGAATGTGCCTCACATGCCCCTCCCTGGCCAATTCTGTGGTCTGTTTGTCCTAAGGTAACAAAGGCACAATTAAGTTCCTAAATACTGTTCCTGAAGAGGTTTATTTTCAGTGATTACTTTGTTTCGGAGTATTAGAAGAATATTGACAAGAGGAATTCATTTTTATTCTTTCAAGGGAAGAGAGATTAGATTGAGAACTCGGTCATGATTTTTTTAAGAATATATTAATGACTACAAAGGAAAACAAGCATTTAGAAAGTATGTTATTTCTGAGGAAGAAAAAATACTGTGTTTTTTATTATCCAATTCAGTACTAAGCCATATTACATACTGTTCTTAAAAATTACTTCTTAGTCTTGTGGTTCTTCTTTAGAACTTTTCCCTCAAACTTAACCTTTTTCAGAAATCTTGTCCTTGAAAATCTATCACTAAATGTTTTATTACACTATTATATCAGTATTAATAACAGCAAATTGAATTTAGAAAGAAGTTGCTATCTCTCATTACCACCACAGCTATGGTGTCATTTTTGCTACCTGATATTTCTGTGACTTGAAATTTTAATTTTATTTAAGTAAAATCACTATGCAGATGCCACCTTCTCTTTAAGCTGTTCATGCTTATACACTGTAGACACTTACTAAATTCACTGTGCTTGAACATACTAATATTTTTTAATAGCTTTTATCCATAGCGTTGAAAGCAATCACATCATTCTTGACAATCATGTAAAATAGGCAGCTTATTAGAGGAACAAGTGTACAACTTTCGGAAGAATTTCACTTGGAAAATAAAAACAAGATGCTGTGAAAAAGGTTTCTGTCAGAAGAGAGTTAATAGAAATAACATATATATCCATATATGTATATATTCAGTTAAGGTTTAGAAAATAATGTCAAGGAAATCTCTGACAATATGGAGAGAGATAGAAAATATGAGGGGAAAAAAATCTGACGAAGAGGATCCTCAAACAGTGCAAAAATTAACTGTTAGGATTCTTAAGGGGAGAGAATAGACCTTGGAGTCTTGAAGTTGGATGAAATAGGCTCAGGACTGGTAGTGTTTCCAGGGACTTGGCAATGTAAAGAAAAAAAAAAACTCACTGGAAGAAAGTCCCATCACTTTCTGCCTAAAAATATTCTTCCAAAGAATTTTTGCCCCCCAAATGGCCAACACACAAATAACTAGACATATGAGGAAATTACCCACCATGAGCAAACAGACATCCAGAACTCATAGACATGAAATACTAGAATTATCATCAGACTTTGGCTAAAAGTAACTTTTTTCTAATCAGGTAACTGGAAACTATTGCAAAGAAAAAGTGATGTAGCAGTTTTGGAAAAAGAACCAAGTGGAAATACTAGAACCGTGAAATGCTAGAACTATGATACTAGAACTATGAAGCTGTGTAAGTGAACTTAAGAGCTCAGTGGATGGATTTAGCAGCAAATTAGATACGGCTGCAGAGCAAAATAGTGACCTAGAAATTATATCAGAAAATATGATCCAGCATGTTAACATTTGCAGAGAGGAAAAGTAAAAATTACAGATAAGAGAAAAAGAGGCATATAGGAGAGAATGAGAAGGTCTAACACACATTTAATTTGAATCCCAGAAGGAGAGGAGAGAGAGAATGGGCCAAAGCTGATGAAAGACATCAACCTACAAATTAAAGAAGCCAAGTGAATTCCAGTTT